GCGGAGGTTCACGGATAAAGGGCAAAAGGGATCACGGAGAGGGCGCCCGGTTTGTAACGCCAGCATTGGGGTGTTCGAGATCCATAACCACCCCCTGGGTTAACCGATACCGGCAATTATCAACGCGTCTCGGTCGCCGTTGATCATCCCCCTCCCCCTCCTTCTCCCGATACTATATATGTAATTCGCAACAGAGTACAGAGTGTTTCTAAATCGGCGTTACGAAATTTAATGGGCAGATGGAGAACGGAGGTTTCTTTCAAATACACCACCCGCTTCCTCCCTCGCCCCCCCGTGTACCTATTCCGTGCAATTAGCTCGATGAGAGGTAACATTACGCGCGTTCGACACGAATTCGCAGCTCGAAGCTCGGTTAAAGGGTGCCAAACTGTCGGGGTCGCTTTTGATTTTTGAATAGTCTCTCGAAGTAATGGGGTTGGCACGATAATTAAAGCAAATTTAACTTTTCACGTTGGTTTTATTTGGAATATATTGTGAAAAACAAAAAGTTTTGTTTTATTTTTAGGTTTCAAGTGAAATAAAATCGCAAAAAAACGGGAAACTTAATCGCGTTGAAACGCGCGAGATCGGAAGGGCGTGAATTAAGCTCGTTACTTGCGCAATTTAATAAAATAGATGCGCACCCAAGTATGTAGTTTCTCATGTTAAAAAGGTTGACGCGTGTGCACCGACAAACACGACGTCGTCGGCACGCGTGTCGGCCTCGTCTTGTCAAACATCAATTACGTGTGCAAACAAGTTACCGAAGGGATGGTGCTCGACCGGCAAACATTAAATACATGCATTACCCTGAGACACGCTGACACAATGACCGACACTTCCGCCGCCCTTCGACTCGACCGGTGTCGGTGCAGATATTATTTGGCGACAGAAGTCGAAAGAAACAAACGCGGAAAAAAACAAAAAACATACGCGGCGTATTTAATCTTTCAATTGCCCGCAAATGATGGTATGTTCGACCATGTGTGTTTCTTGAAAAACAACGCCCTTCAATTAATTTTAATCTGATAAGGGAAATCTCGCGAAAATTCTGTGATTTTAATGATGAAACTTTGCACACACTTGAAGGGTGTAAATAGATGAATGTAGAAATTTTCATTTGCTGTTCAAAAACGATTCTAAGGGATGAAATTATGTCTCATATGTAAACCTCTCGTATGAAAAAAAAAACAATGTTTTTGATACATATTGATTTGAAGACGGTACTTGGCAGAATAAAGTGTTAAAAAATTGCAAAAAAATCACGTTTGTGGCGGTACATACGATCTGAAGACGGTACCTATGATTTTAAACTGTAAAAAGCGACGAATCAATATTTCAAACATTTTTTTCTGACGAGTACCGCGCTCGGATCGTACGTATCGACGAAAACAATATTTTTTTATATGAGAAGTTTACATAGGGTAAAAGATCCAATTACTGTCACCTGTCCAATTACCGTCACCCTAAGTTATTTTATTTAAAATATTAAATAAATCCTAAAATATTATGCATGAAAACAATCTAACATAGAATTTTAAGTGCAATTAATATAACAAAAAATCTCCAGCACTCAACATTCGTGTCTCATTTCTTTCATTTTAGGGGTGACAGTAATAGCTCTCGCATCGTTCTTTTTTAATTATTAAATTTATAAATAAAAATAGAGATTTTGAGAGGCGGTATTATTATTTTGTTCCTTATATTAGAGACATCGAATAATACCAGATAAGAAGAAAAACACATGTTTTTCATAAATAAGTAGTAAAAACAATTCACTAACGCCAGAGTTTATTTTATTCAGGTGACAGTAATTGGGTCTTTTACTCTATGAGGGAAGATTTCATTCTTTTTAAGCGGCGATTTTTACCCCGTCAGGTCTATTTACTCCCCCACATGTGTGCAAAGTTTAATCAGAATCAGAATTCTCGAGTTCGCGGGGTGAATTTTCTTGGGGAGTTTTTGAAACGATGACTATAAGAAACGCGCGATAAAGTTCACGACTAACAACTGAACAACTCGTCAACATTTCTCAAATTCATTCGTTTCTCTTCTAATGTAACACATTTTATACAGTAAAAATAAAACCATGTACATTTGTCTCGTCTCGTTTTTAACTTGACGCTTTTTGTCTTTTTGATAATATTTTATTTTATCAAAGAGAATTTATTATTCGGTTAAAATACATCAAGTGTGACGCAAGCTTGTCTTCAGCGGTTTTTTTTTTAATTCTGGAAAAGATTTTCCGTGAAAATTCGTCCGCATCGAAATTTCGTCGCGCACGTGAGAGAAAGAGCGAGGGTCGAGATTTCGCGGAGTAACCCCCACCGGCTCCTTTGTCGGCACGTCTGTATCTCGCAAGAGAATTATAGCCGAGTTAGGTATAGGTACGCGCGGCACGAAATGGCTCGACTTAAAATCTAAGTAGCCGTGCATCCCCCGAAGCGGGCCGCAGATAGGGGAAGATAGAACCGACCTGGGGACTGTAGAGGGTTGCTTAGGATAGCGAGAGAGAGAGAGAGAGAGAGAGAGAGAGAGAGAGGCGGGAAGGGAACGACGCGAGAGGACGACGGGGCGAGGGGGAAAAGAGGGCGAGCGAACAAGGGGAGAAGAGGAGGAGGGATGCTGGGATGCCGAGGGGAGCATCCGGGATCTCGGAGGGTACGTGGGGCGGTCGGTCGTCATGGATACGCTCCCGGCTAACCCTGTAACCGCTCCTCCCTCGTCATTCTACATTTTCGCGACTACCCGCCGCCATCATCGACCCACCATCTTGTCTCGTGAGCCCTGCGAGTCTCGTCAAAATTTTGAGATGGTCCCTCGACATCCGACGGTGCTCTCCCGCGTTCGAGGATTCTCCTTAAATTGAACGAGAACAGAGGAACGACGTTATAATGCACGATCGAACGGAATTCTCGTCGTCAAGAAGATAAATTCCTCAAAACACGCGAGAGAACAAAGACAGACGGAGTTTAAGAATCACAATTTTCTCAGTTACGCGCGTTACCGTTATTTTATTCTTGATATGCTTAAAAAAAAAAAAAAAACAAACAAAATTGTATAAATATCAATTGACATATTAATGAACGCTTTGCGGCTACGTAGGCAGATATAAACATTGCGTCGCGGGTAACATTGTGGCCGATTATTTCGGTGACCTTGTTGCGCGTGATGAATTAACTAGAGAGGCGACAAAAATAATGTCGCACACAAAACGAAACGGAGAGCGAGAAACCGAAAGGATTCGGAGAGACATTCTCTGGGATCGCGCGCCCGCGGATCCAGAAAGCGGAAAGATCGATCGATCTTGCTGGGGGCGAGGTAAGTGCGGGCGACCGCGGCAGTTCTCGCGTCGCGTTTAATAAACGCGCCCACCTCGCGGACGAGACGAAAAGTTTTCGAGCGAGAGTCGCCGATAAATTTTGGGAACGGCGAGAGCAGCAGGATATTGCTGCGGCCGGTGGAGAGAACAGTCGACGGCAACGATGCAACACACTCTCGCAAATGCAACATGAGGGAGAAGGAGAAAGAGAGAGAGAGAGAGAGAGATAGAGAATTCACGTTGTGAACAAACAATCCCTCCAACGTATATACCATCTCCTCGTCCTCTTCCTCCGTCATCCTCCCCTTCCGTTCCGTCTCCTCTCGCGGGTGTAGGCGGCAGATAACGTGATTTACACTGGCCGGGTAATTAATGTCCTCGGCGACCGGCGCTTTAAAAAAGCAATCGGAAATCGGCGACAACGAAGAGCAACAGTCAGCCGCCCGCCCGGCTGCTCCGCCGGATGACAAATTATCGCGCGCGAGAGCCGTTGCCCCGCGTTGCTTTTTTTTTTCGCGCTCCTCTCTTGGCACACGCCGTTGACGCTCGTCTCTTACACTCGGTACTTAATAATTTCGATGGAAGAGAAAGAGAGAAAGAGAAAGAGGAAGAGATATATATATATATATATCGCGGATCTGTTTACCGGCTTTCAAGAGGCGAAATATCACGCCGCGTTTTTCATTACGTCTACTTGTGTAAGAAAAAAACAAAACAATCGTAATATTTTTTCCGCGGCTTCTTCTTCTTGCAAAGAATGCAAGACGCGTCCATCGAAAAGCATCGTCAAAACATACGAAAGACGGATTTTTATTTTCAACTCGTTTTTTTACACGACGTACGTGATGTAACGTGTGAATTACGGGGTCGTTAAAATTCGCGCGACTCAGCGAAAATCTCAATCTCCGCGTGCACCCACCCACGTTGTTATCATTGTGAGAAAATAGGCGAGGGTAAGTGGTTCTTGCTCTCATTAACCGCGTTACGTCATCGTCGCGTCGTATACGCGCGTACGTACGTTATACACATATGTACATTGATTGTATATATATATATATATATATGTATATATACATATATGTATATATCAGAACCGATCGATGGTATCGCCACGGGGCACTTATACGCCGCTATAATTTCGCGCGTAATCAGGTTGCGTGTCCCTTTCCGCGTGTCCGCGTGCGTGACTTTACGCTCGGCGCATTATATGGGCAACAACTATTTCGTATCGCCACGCAATAAGTTACCACCTTCGTGGCGCGTTATCTCACACCTGCCTTGTTACGGCGTCAATTCGACGAGCTTTATTCGTTTTATAAAAACAACCGAGCTTCTTTTCGTGTTGACGCAACACGAAGCGTGTGAACAAAACGAGAGAAACGTGTGAAGAGTTTCTAAAATCTCGCGACCGAGACACGAGGGAGGAGGGGGAGGGGGATACATATACAACTTACGCAAATTTTAATTTCAAACTTGCGTAAATTGTTATTTACAAATTCTGTGATGAAATCATTCAGCTCTCGCGCAAGTTTTCTCTCTCTCTCAAGTCTTCGCGTGACTCGGATTATTTACGACTCGATCGCGTAAAATTCGTTCGGATATTTTTCACGCACGACGGAAGCTCGAGATATACCGAGAGAGCGCGGGAAGAGCGTGGAAGAAGGAAGCCTTTACTTACCGGTGATGGAGGCGGTGGGCGAAATGGCGGACGGGTTGGCGCGCGGAGGCGGCGAAAACGCGCCGGCGAGGTAACCGCTGCGATCGGCTAGGGCCTGCTTCGCCTTGTCGACGCTGTCCTTCAGCCGTTGAAAGGTGTTGCTGCAGGTGAGGCCGCGGTACGGCCAGTTCTCCTGCTTGACGCCGGCCGCGGCCGCGGCGGCTCCGGCTGTCCCGGAGGCTCCCTTTAATTCGAGCGCACCTGCGTACGAACAGCTAGCGCTGTCGTACATCACCAAAGAGCCCCTGAAAATGCGTGTGAAAATTTTTGTCTTCACATAAACACTGCGCCGCATCGCGCTCCTCGCGGTCCTCCGTGCGGTTTCGGCTCTTTTCAATTGCAAGCGCGTAATCGTTCGAACAAGAGCAAATTGTTTTTGCGTTTGTATTAGCTTCGTGTAGAATATTTTTGTTCGACTTTCTATTTTTTATACAATTATTTTTATATTTTATATTGACTTTAACTTGATATATATTGTATAATTGTTTTATTATTTCGCAAAAAAAAAAAAAAAAGCAAGTTTGCAACACGCGCGAGAAATGTGTAGTCGTCGTTCCGATTGCATTCGATTAAATATTTCCAACGTAACATCAATATGGAAACATTGAAATTCGCGCGTCGATTTCTGTAAATCACATATGTATTATGTGTAATCGCATATGTATGTGTTACGAATAATAATAATAGCAGTTCGCAGTAACGCGAATAGAAAATCAAAGAAGAAGTTATCGTTGCTCATGTGAATCGTGTGTTCGCGTTGCTAAATTAAATGACCGGCTGGCGGTGTTAAAATGTAATGCAGGGTCGGGACGAAGCAAGCCTACTGTTACTTCAAGCTGATAGGCACTTGTGCTCATGCAAATACCGCGGTTGGGGTTATTAAAGGACCCTTGAAACATCCGGTAAAGACGAGATCGAATTAAAATATGAGTGCGCGCATACACAACGAGATATTTGTTATTTCTAAAAAAAACAAATAAATAAATAAATAAATAAGTAAACGTCGAGTTGGAAACACAGTTGGATAAAATTTATGTAAAAGATGACTTTCTCTTCATCGTCTAATTAAACTGTTTACTTCTCTGCTACAACAACATCGAGTTAACAAGTGAAATTGTTCTGTTTTTCTACTAAAATGTTATTAAAATTTCACAAATGATGGAGAAATATTAACGATAACATATTTAACGTATAAATTATGTTGCGAACTCAGCGCATTCTTAATGTAAAATAGTTCGCACGATAAATAAATGCGCGGATATGTAAACACTCGCGTTCTTCGGGTTGCAACAACTGCGAATCGAAAGTGTTACGCTATCACAGACTGTCGATAAAAGTTCTCAGCGACAACGTAACGAAAACGTTTTTCCGTTTAAAAGTCACGTTGTGTTTTTTCGCGCGCGCGCGCGCGCGCCCGTGTGTCTTTTTTCTGTTACTAACTTTCAACGAAGCGAATAACAAATGCGCATTTTTATGATAGCGAAGTAAAGTCATCGCGCGCGAGGCTTTTAAGGGCGCAAAAGTTGTTCATAAATCGAACTCGTCTCGGAAAATCGTATCGCGAGCGCATCTTATATCGTTCGCATTTTATTAATCAATGACGCGACCTGAAAATTTGTAGTCGCGAAAATTGCAAAAGCGATGAGAGAATTTGCATGAGGTCGCGATTGAAATTTGCACGAGGCCACGGTCGTATCGTTGCCGCAATTTTGCAACGAAAAAGCGCGGCGATAAGAGACGGGCCCAGGCTGCTGCAATATTGAAGCTTGTCGTTTATCGCGAGTTCGCTTCCGTCTAATCTGGAAAATCTGCTGCTTCCGGCTATATCCCTTCCCGCATTACATAAATCATTATTCAAACGAAATGATGCAGCGCGCGCGCTCTGCCGATCTGTGTGTCCGACCGTGCCGATTCCACGTGCGGACTCGCGTATATATAAATAAACACCGTGCGAAACTCTCTCGTCGACCATATTTTTATAACGCCAGAGAACAATTCGAACAAAAAAAACTCTGTGTATCTTGACGCACAATCTAATATACGAGCGGATACTTGTGTTGTCTTTTTATTTCAATAATATTTGACTGTCCGTTATATACAAATGTAAATGCGATTTAACGATCTGTCGAATTGCTGGAAACATCAAGCGCGTTGATGTTTTTTTTTTTGGCCCCGCTTATTTTATTTTTATTTACCTTCAATCGCTGTGAAAACGTTCACGATAAATTCTCTCTTTAAACTCTTGTCACTCTCTGTATGTCGTCACGCCGATCGTTTGAATGTGTCAACTTTTCTGGCATCACTTTTCTGGACGAAGGCAATCTCACCGGAAGAGAGAAAAGCGCGCAGCGAAATAGTTTTCCATCACGCGCGAATCATCTCGAGTCGCGCTGGTGGGTCGTCATCGCGGAACATTCGCTGACATTCGATCAGGACAGTTAAGGATAAAAGCGGCACTCTCGTGGGTACGTCCGGATGTCCAGCGCGTATTGAGGTCAATCTAATCACAAAACTGTCACATAGTCACGCTTGTTCCGCGGCACAACGCGATGAGCGCGCAACGCGGGATTGTCTTTGCGATACGTGTTCGACGTATTTAAAGACCAAATCGAACGATCGATTATTGGAAAAAGAAGGTTCATCGGCGATGACACTGCAGAGAAATTTGACGCTATTGAAATTTTATATTTCGTTCGTTACACAGCGCGCCACTTATTTTGAGCTCATTCTATTGTAAAAAAAAAAAAAAAAAAAAAACCAAGAAAAAACTTCCTGCGCAAACGATCCATTCGGATTTTCGGTTCGAGATATTTTTGATGAAACTATATTCAACGAAGTCGTTACGCCACTTTTATCGTTCTCTTTTTACCGTTTCACCAAGAAATCGGTAACGACGCGTTCGCGCTCATCTGTTTACTTCGCGTTTACAAAGAGACATGTAAAAACACGCACGCCAATTGTGCAACTTTCACATTGTCGCGATAATAATTCACATTCATCGGAACAAAACAACGCGCGCGTTATATCGTATAAGAAATAATTGCGCTTCTCTCGACGATTTCTCGGTTTTTTTTCTCTCTCTCTCTCTCTCTCTCTCTCTTTCTCTCTCTCTTTCTCTCTTTTACACGCACGTTACGTCGCCCTTTGTTTTCCGTCCGTTTCTCCTTGCACTCGATGACTGCACACTTCTCTCGCTTATCGGTCAGGTATCCAGGCACGGAGGAGGAGAGGCTAGACCGCGGTATCAAGAAGAAGGTACTCCGGACAGGTTGTCTCGCGCAACTGCGGCCGCCGCGGGCAGCAAATTGCCTGCTTCCGGGCCTCATTACATCACTCTGTTACTCTGTTAACGCTCGCCGGAAACCCCTCTGCCTACCTCGTCTAAACTCTCGTCTCTCCTGCATATATATGTGTATATATATATATACACACACGTATGTCACACACACACACACGCGCGCGCCGTTTAAACGCACCGTCGCGGACGCGACGTGACATAGGCGCGCGATCGCACGCGAGAGGGAGAAAAAGCCGGTCGCGAGAGATCTCCGGGAAGATCGCCTTTCGATCTGTGTCCTTTATGCGAATAAAATTGCGCGTTTTCAGCCGAGCTTGAATAAAAAAATATCGCGTTTCTTCCAGGAGAAAGAGAGAGAGAAAGAGAGAGAGAGAGAGAGAAAATCGGTAATCTCGCGTGACGCGTCGAAATAAACTAAAGAGGAAAGACGCTTTTTGACGTTTATAATTGTTGGGAATGAAAAGAATCAATGTATTTGAATACATTTGAATACATATGAAATCAGTTTGATGGAATATATGAATAATATTTAAGAATAATATCACACGTATATGTTCTTCGCGCTAAATATTGCCATTTCTCGCGTTGTCTCTTTACGATCCGATCTCGGCGACGGCTGCACTCGAAGATCGTTCGAGCGTTATTTCTGATTTTCAGAAATGTTTTTCAAAGGTGTTTTTCTTCGATATGTTCTTCGGAGACTTGTCCGTATAGAAATCGATTTTTATAAAAAAAAAATCTTATTTGGAGAACTCGCATCGCTAACAAGATTATCTCGCGTAACAAATACAAAATATTTGTCTCGCCGAATGTCACACGTCGACGTTGCTCTCATTTACTCCCGGTGAAAATTTTTTTCCCACATTGCTAAACGAATAATCTGTGAAAAAGTTCAACCCGATAAGGAAAAAAGAAGCTTCCGGACCTCTTAAACATTAAACATGTTATTTAAAACGCATAACGAATCGAAAAAGTGAAGTTTCTACAAAGTGAGGAGAATAAAGAGAAAGAGATGAACACACTGCGCAAGAACTAAAAAGAACAGATCTATTATTATCTGTGTTTGTGCGAATATAGGTTGAACTTAAAAACTATTGTAAGTAAAAGATGAAAGGAATAATAATAACAATAACTCACGTACTTTGGGGCGAGAGGATTAAGCATTACACAGTGAATTTTGCTACATCAGGAATATTTTAAACTAAAGGTATTCGCGATGTTACTTTTTTTTTGGATTTTTTTCCGAAACCTTGGGTCAAAAACGAACAAAAATAACACGTGATAAAATATACTTTTGATTCCCAGATCTACAATTTTTTTTGTTTAACGTGTTTTTCGATATAATCAATAAGTTGGAAGATAATCGAATAAAATCGATTTTATTATTTAAATAATTTTTTTTTTTAATAATTCATTTCAGTAATGTTTTCAATGTTTAAGGGTCCAGGAGCTTTTTTTCCTCTTTTATTTTTCCAATCGGGAAGCGAACTTTTCACAGATTGTTGTTTCAGCAATTGAAACCATTCTGAGAGAATGACGCGAAAAAAATTCAAAAGTCGAAAATAAGATCCACCTTGGTGTCACATACACGTCAATGCACATTTCAATATGCTTTACATCTCGTCACTTCCTACGTATAATCCCGTAACTCCAAAACGCAAATTTTAGAGGAGAGCAGTTTAAAAGTTTAAAGCTTCATATAGTTTCCCTAGTTAAGGGATCTTTCGGTTTTAAATTTTTACCATACTTATGAATATTTTTTTTTAATACTTGGTGACCACAAAGAACATGACTTTCTGAGTGTCACTATGCAATAAACTGAAAATCCCATATGTGACACTTATGTAATTATACGTAGGGAGTGACGATCTCAAAAAACTGTTTCGTTATTACGGCAAATTCCATACACAAATAATTTTCTTTCTTTCCTTACGTAACACATTACGCGCCTGTGAGTATTTTTTCCGCAAAGCGCAAATGACACGTGTACACGTGAAATTAGCGAAGTTTTTTTTCCTCAAAGGTGAAATGACAAATATCGCGTTTCTTTACAGAAGCGGGAAAAAAAAAAAAAAAAAAAATCGGTGACCGCGATGCGTGACGCGCACGGAGGAGCGAAGTGGCGGACACGCGCGGTAATTTCGCGTTGGTCAGTGCGTGCGCTCGCCGTTTAACCCGTAAAACGTGCGTATAGACGCAGTTGTGCGTCATGCGTAAGATTCCGTGAACGAGTTGTACAGAGAGTGTTTCCCCTCCCTTCCCGCATATATATATATATATATATCTCATTCGCGCGAGTGTCAAAACGCTTTTGTTCGCGCGCGCGAGAGTTTTGCACCGGGATCTGACGAAATCTGACACAGCGTTTTTATTATCAATTTCGAACGACAAGGAAATAAAAGCTCTATTTTCTCAGAAATGTGCGAACTATTTCTTTTTAAGTTCAAGGTGCCTCTATTTGCGGTGGCCATTTTGTTCCCTTCTTAGTGTGATTTTCTTTGTCATATTTCCCCCTACACGAGAGATTGAAGTTTTCTCACAGATTAAATTCGTATCTGTAATTGTTTTTTTTTTTTTTAATGCTTAATCCTCTTCCTCTTCCTTTTCCTTTATGGTACAAGTTTTTTATCAAAACAAGGAAAAACACATTTAGACAACAAACTGTGAAATGCATCGAAAATTAACGTCACGATTCGAATTAAACACTCGAGAACGAACGAGAAAAATAGAAGAGACAAATCAAACTGTAATGCCAGACAAAATAAAGAACGAGGTACATGCACGAGGTACATATAGTATCTAGAATCGAATCAACGGATCTAGTAAAACCAACAGATTTCCGTTTTTTTTGAACAAAAAAACGGCGGTTTGTCGGTGCTTCGTTTTGCACACACACACACACACACATACACAAAAAGGAAAACAAAATTTCCAAGAAAGTAGCCGCGGAAAATCGCGTATCGCGCCCATAAATTCGCGCACAACTACAATGTGCGAAGACCGGATCGCGGTCTTGTTTTTTTCGGCGTTATCGGTATTGTTCCATCGTCACGCCGGTGCGACGGAAGCGCGCGGCCGACAATCTTCGGTTTCCTCTCTCGAAACGTTCTCTTTCGTTCAAGCTTCTCTCTCGTCGCGTGCCGAAACGAATACACATCGAGCGCGGAAACAAGGAGATAAAAATTGAAACCCATTCCTTTATCCCTCAAATCGCACCGATCCGAAGATCAACAGCAACCGAAAAGAGAAGCCGATTCGTCGCAAAACTAACGTGCACTAATCGCGTCACCTTACCGTCAGTGCGGGGGCCAACGTGGTGTCTTGTCCAGCACTGTCAGATCCAGTTCGATACCTCCTCGCGATATTCCTCTTCCGATCAAATCGGTTTTTATTTCTCCTCTTCTGGACGTCACGTTCACTTTTTTTTGAATCTTCACTATGACCTTGCACCTGGGGAAAAGATGTCGGAGGGAGAAAAAAAGAAACAATCGAGAAAGTAGAATTCGACGCGAATCGACACTGTGGGATGTAATCGACGGTAACGCGAGTGTGAGACGCGCGGGAGGGGTGGGTGGGTGCGGACGTGCACCCCGTCGTCGTCTCGTAACGTGAACGTTTCTCTTCGCGGGATAGAGATTATACGTCGTGGGACAGCCGGTCCGTTTGAGCTCGCGGGGATATCCCGAGAGTTTGTCAGCGCGCGCGTGGACCACCGTGGTGGCGGACTCGGCCGCGGTGCGACGGACGCACATTTGGCAGAGTCGTTATCAGTCGCGGTCCGACGATTGGCTGTATCGGAGCCTGCGCCGGCACGTCCTCCACGGGGGGGTGGGCGCGGGGAGAGAAGAGCGCGCGTTACACGAGCGCGCGAGAGGGAGACGGTGTGACGGGACGAGCGGGAGGGAAGAGGGTGGTCGAGAGAAACGCGGGGGTAGAGATTCCCGCTCTCGCCCCCGTCGCTCCCCCCGGACACAGGGGGTCTCTCCGACGACTGCCGAGCGGCTCCTTAGAGGCGGGATCATCCACCAGGCTGTGTGTGCTCTTCTTTCCTTCTCTCTCTCTCTGTCTCTCTCTCTCTCTCTCTCCCTCTCGCGCCTTCCTTCTCTCCACCCTCGCCTCCTGTCGTCTCCTTCGGAGCCACCCAGCCCCCTGTATCTCTCACGCGTAACGGGAGCGTAGGTGGGAAACGAACGGAAGGCTTCCCGCGGAGCATCATACTGAGACGCGCCGCGATATCCCACGGTGCCTTTTATTATTATTGATGCCGAGGATACCGGGCGCGTTATGAACGCGATAAGCGCCTCGTGCGCGAGACGGGAATGGATTGACACCGATCGCGAGTCTCGTCGGCGGTGTGTCGGCGTGTGTTTGGCGAAAGCGATTCTCCCCTACCGCGGAAGTATCTGAAAGCTAATAATAAAGTACACGTAAAGAGTACACACATTTTCCGCGCGCGATTTCAGATGCGCGTCAGCGATTTTCCGTCGGCGTAATATATGGTACGCGCGGACGCGCATTCGCCGGCGCGAGTCGTAATATCCGAGAAGAAAGGAAAATACTGACGGCGATGGAAATAAATCGACTTCTGTAGATCGAAAATCGAGAACCTTGCGAATTGGCGGAGCTTCGTTGTGTGTGTTGAAAAAAAAAAACATTTTTTTATTGTAAAAATCGAACAAAAATATATGCGCGATCGCGAAAACTGTAGCAGAATCGAAACTTTCATGAATAGTCGTGATATCTGTCTAACTCGCGTCGCGCTCGATCGTCGCGGACGCGGTTAAAATGTCCAATTTGTTTGATTAATATATCAGCGATATCGCGTGATCTCTCTTTCTTTCTCCGCGCGCGCGAGATCGGCTCTCGAACCGGTTGCGAATAGGGCGGGAGGGGGACAGGGGTCCCGTATCTGCTTGTGAAAATTATCTGATCCACGCGGTGTAGTAACAACGGGGGCGCGACAGGCCGGACACGTGCCTGGTATACGATTTTCAAAGGGCAGCCCGGGCATAGGGTGGCATATATTCATACGTATCGCGATAATAATGTATCGTTATCGCTTGCCTTCGTTAACCAACTCGCGCGCCATCGGTACATGTATAGCGGCGGCAAAATCAATGCTTTGATTTAATAGAATTCCGTTTCGTTATCCCGCGACTGCATAAAACATCGCGTCGCGCTCGCACGTGTGCGAAGCGACGAAAATGTTCAAACCGCGCAAAATCCATGTGTAAATTAATTTCATTTGTTTTTTTTATATATATATATATTTGAATTTCTCTCTCGCGAAATTTTTTTGCGCGATAAAAATTAATACACGTATGTGTAACCACAAATTTAACTTCGATAAATTTGAATTTACTTGTGTGTGTGTGTGTGT